TTTGCCTCGGACTATCACCACCCTGGTACAATGTGCGTTGTGATCTCCTCTCTGCTTAGATTGCTGTCCATCATCCTGGGCGACAGACAATGAGGATGCATCAATTCAAAAATTAAAAATTGGTTGAAAGAAGGCCTTATCCGCTACCTTCCGTCCTTCCTTCTTCTCCATAGATCGGACGCCGGTCCACCAAGCGTCTTCTTGTCTACGGAAAGAGGGATTTCCTGGTCGCGTCTTTTGAAGAAACCTTAAGCGCGGCACCGTCCGCCGTTGTCCCCACAAGAAAGGGCGTGGGAGCCACGGAGGGAAAAGGGAGGAGACCGGCCCATACAGCATCACGCAAGGATGGAGGCGGGCAACCTCGGCCCAGCAAGGCCTTTGTCACTGCCAGCATCTCTCTCCCTTGGAGCACGGCGGGGGATCTCCCGCCTGACGTTCTTAGGGAGGAGCCAGGATACGTGCGGGCTTCTCAGGATCTCGTCGGCTATTATGCCGCTTCGGGGGAGATTGAAAATGCAGCGCATGCCTTGATCATTATGAGGACGGGTAGGAGGGGTAGAAGAAGAGAGGGAGGGAGGGAGGGAAGGAGGGAGGCAGGGGGAGATGAAGATGGAAAAGGGTGGAGCAAAAATATGGTAGGTCAAACCAAGCCCTTAATGACGGAATGCTGAGATTGCTCCCTAAACCACACACACCCTTAATTCCCGATGGGACACAGACTTAAAGGGCAACATTCCGCACTGGGTATTCAGCAAGAGCGTCGGGACTACCGGGATGCACTTTCTTCAGACCTTGGAGGCAGTGGCAGGGGCGCCACGGCGCCGCTGGCGATGGTAGCCGTGAACAGAAAAGGCACCCGGAGAACGCTCCCCTCCGGAGTATTGGGACAGATGGGGAGAAAAGGAGGGAGGGAGGGAGGGAGCGAGAGAGGGAGGGAGGGGGGATACGTGGTCAAAGCAAATCGCGTTTTCTGTCGTGTGGGACAAGGCAGGGGAAGGGGAGGCTGTGTGTGGTTTTGAAGGTAGCTAGAGGGGGGGGAATGCAAGCGTAGGGACGCCACGGATGCAGGTGATAGAGGAGGGAGGCATTGGCGGGAAGGAAAGAGAGAAAAGGTTGGAGGGATATAGAGAGAGGGAATGGCCCGCACGTGAGAGGGAAGCGGAAGAGGAATATCAGGCAGGCAAAGAGGGCGCGAAGAAGGAGGAAAAGAGACAGAATGGACCGGGCAATAGGCAGGGGAGGCAGCCTTTGCGTCCTCGCGGGGACAGGGAGGGGGGGGGATAGGTGTGGCACGCAGGAGCAAGGGGGGCATAGTAGCAGTGTATAGTATCTTGTTTCTACCACGGCGTGGAGACAACGGGTGAGTTTTTTTTCCCTTGGGCGGGCTGTCGGCAGGGTTGTCAGCAAAATTAGATGTGTTTTGCTCATGGCAGCGAGGCGTCAAGTCCTCAGCTTTTGCCTTGGGGCCCAAAATTTGAGTGTGGAGGCCTCCTCCCTCCACCTGTCGGGGCTTCTTTATGAGGCTACTGGCGAGCTCCGTCTCATACATGGTGACGTGTGTACATGATGATAAACGCCTTCGAGTTGCTCCGATTTGAAAGAAAAGTCTTCCCTATTTTTTCCCACGCTTCTTTTATTTTTCCTGGATACAATTTAACGAGGCTTGT